GCCACGTGCTCTTCTGCAAAATGATAATTAGAAAATATTTTCAGAAAAATGTAAGAAGGGATTGCAGCATGGCCATCCCCTTGGAGGGTGATGTCTGGCTTTCTGTCTTTCCAGTGAGCATACATACCCTATAGCAAAAAAAAAAAAAAAAAAGAATGTCCCCTTGGGGACCATCAGATGGCATAATGATTGTCACTGGAGTCCCATGTAGCTAACTGTGGTAAAGTACCAGGCACGATGACCTGAAACTCACACCAGGTGTTTGTGCGTGTGTGCCCAAAATCCTGAGAAGAGAATCAAGAAGGGATTGTGGCATGGCCATCTCCCCTAGGGAGGTAATTTCTCACTTTCTGTCTCTCTATCTCTTCTCTCTGGTGAGTACATGTGCCTTATAGCAAAAAAAAAAAAAAAAACTCTCTCTCTATTAAAAAGGATGTCCCCATCATTATATGATTTTGCCTGTACAAATGACTGTCTGGGCCAGCACTATAGCTCTGCAGTTGAGGGAGCCAGATCCCACATGACTGACTATGGGCCAAGTCCTGGTTTCTGTGCCTTGTAAAGCACACTGGGAACATATGTGTGCATGCCCCAAATCCTGATGGGATAGAGAAATGGGTGAGAAACACTGTGTGCCGTAACTGCTCCGCTGGGGGACTCTCTTCCTCTGGAAAGTACATGCCTATTCTGGCAATTAAAAAAAAAAGAAAAGGAACGAATGAATGAATATCCACCCAGTTAAAAGTTGATAACAAATTTCTAATCTATTTAAAATCTTCCAAATAATGGGTTTCAGTTTTCACATTATCTGCTTAATATATAAATATAAACATCTTCTGGTTAGCTTGTAGAAACAATCGTTGCACGTCAAGGAAAATATAAATTTGCTAACCATATTTCAGCAAATATCTTTATATAAATGGTTTAGTAAACACAGCCATGATAGTTTTGGATATTTTTGTATCATATTTTTAAGTATCTGAGGCCATTAAACCATCTATTAGGGGGACCAGCAGTTGGTGTAATGGCTATGTCACTGGATTCCCATGACCGTGGTTTGAGTCCTGGACCCAGTGGCTTAAACTCACGCTGGGCTTGCATGCATGTGTGCCCAAGATCCCAAGAGGAGAATGGAGGAGAAGGGATTGCGGCGTGGCCATCCCCCCTGGGGGTGATTTCTCGCTTTCTATCTCTCTGTCTTTCTGGCGAGTGCACACACCCTATATCAAAAACCTCTCAACAACAAAAAACATCTATTAAACAGAACTTGTAATCTTTCAATCCCTTTATTATAAAACATTAAAACCTTTACAATAATGAAGTTTATTTAGTGACATTGCTTTTACTGACAGATATCATTCCTATTAATTTTTAGTGAGTTCTAAACTTTTTTCTATCCAAAAGTAAACAAAATAAGTTATTTAAAATATTTTTCATGTATTTTGTTTACAGTCTACTCTTTAAAGTTTGTTTTTGTAATTTATAATTTACGTATCTATTAGAATGTCAGGTATGTATATTATATAAATAAATATTCATATTTGGGGAATTTTTATTTTCTTTTGAGAGTAGACCACTGATTCAAGTACTGTTTTAGAGATTTTGGATTAATTTTAACCTTTGTACAAGTTCTCTGAACCCTTGTGTAATGATAAAAACAATATTTGCATAAACTTAACAAGTGTCAGGTTGTTTAAATATGTCCAGACAGCTTCTCTCTTAACATTTGTACTTGTTCAAAATAACACTGTTTCTTATGAAGATGTAAATAGTTATAATTTTCATAAGCAATATTTATTTCATGTTTTAATTCTTTGTGTAGTTATTTTGTTTGTCCTTTCATAATGACATCTCACATTTAAAATGATTTCCCTCAGTTATAAAATTATAAAAATGTTCCAAAAAAACCTTTCTGTGCTTTCTGTTTTAAAAAATGGGATTATAGGGAACCAGCAGTTAGTGTAATGGCTATGTCGCTGGACTCCCATGTAGTCAACCGCGGTTCATGTCCTGAACCTGGTGGCTTAAAACTCATGCCGGGCATGTGTGCATGCGTGCCCAAGATCCCGAGAGGAGAATGGAGGAGAAGGGATTTCAGTGTGACCGACCATCCCCCACCCCCCCCCA